AAAGAAAACACAACAAATAAAAAACGGAAAAAAAAAAAAAAAAAAAAAAAAAAAAAAAAGAAAGAAAAAGAAAAAAGCCTCACCATGTTTCTGGCTCCAATTTTTTCTGAGAAACAAAACAAACTATAACCAGGAAGTATCTTCACGGGGATATGTGTAAAACTAAGATGCTCCCCAAATACTTACATCTTACGAATAGGCATTTGGCTGAAGAGCTGTGGGACAGACCCATGCGAGACCAGGGTCTGGCGGTTGGGCTTATTTAGTCCGCAGGCCAGTTTTGCCAGAACCTGGAAGCATAGAAAATATAAAAACCTCAGTACAGTCAACCTACCTATACAGAGTGGTTGAAAACTCATACAATATGCAAGGACCAAGGGTGGTAACTAATGGTTTTCACATTAGAAACAAAACATAGGCAGGGCGGAGGATTTAGCTCAGTGGTGCAGCCACTTGCCTTGCAGGCACCAAGGTCCTGAGTTTGGGCCCCAGTACCAAAACAAAAAAAAAAATATATAAATATATATAAGCAGAAACTCTAAAACTTTGTATTCCACAACATCTTTGGTGGAAAACATGACCCATGATCAGTGTCCTGTCACTTTTCTTGCTAGTCATTTTTCTTCCTCTATTCTTTGAGGTCAGTCCTCCCACTTCAAGTTTAAAAAACAGGAGCTAGAGAAGAAACTCAGTATGCATGTCAGTGTGTCCATATGAAAATATTAAATTTGTTTTACTGCACTCCACCTATTTCCATTTCTTAGGGTTTTTGTTTATGCAGCACTGAGATCAAATCCAGGGCCTCATAAAACAGGCTGTACCACTGAGTCACATCCGTAGCCCAATTTCTTGATGAAAAGTTAGTCCTGAATTTAATACAGTATATCATAATCTAGTATCTATGATAGAGATTGGGCTAAAAATTCTTGCTATAATAACATTCCTATTTACCAACAATACTTAAAATTAAAAAAAAAAAGAAAAAAAAGTGAAACTCCTGAGGATTCTTTTAAAATAGTAAGGCACTTCCCTGGAATCATTTGTGAATTATATTTGGTGTAAAATATAAAATGCTTGATTCAGTGCTGCACACCTGGACTCCTAACACTCTGGGAGGTTGGGGCAGCAAGATTACAAGTTCAAGGCCATCCTGGGCAACTTAAGGACTTAGTGAAATCTTGTCTCAAAATTTTTTTTTAAAAGTGAGGAATGAGGGCTAAGCAAAAGTATAATATACTGCTGGGGATGTAGCTCAGTAGTGCCCTGCCTGCAAGGTCCTGAGTTCGATCCCAAGTACCAAAAGAGAGAGAGAGAGAAAAAAGTATAATATACTTGGGCAATTCCACATAAGGGAAAATAAGATAATACATAAATATTCAGCAAGTGAAAAATAAAAGAAACAGGTTAATATATATAAAAATACAAAGACCAGCTTCCTCCTTTCTATAGATAGTTTAGTCATTAAAGAAATACTCTGGATGTTAACTATGAGAGTATTTTCTGTAATGTTTCAGCCTGCCTCTTAGCAATGTTAATTCCTGTTAAAATATTGCTAAAGTTTTTATTTAGGCCTAAATATACATTTTAAATAAAAATGCACTTCAAAGTATATGGGGAGGGCTGGGGGTTTGACTCCGTGGTTCTGTTGCCTGCTTTGCAAGCACAAGGGTCCAAATTTGATCCCCGGTGCAAAAAAAAAAAGTATATGGGGAAAAAAAATTTTTTTGAGATAGGGTCTCACTGTGTAGTCCTGGCCATGAATTCAAAATCTTCCCACCACATGGCCGAGGATTTAGCTCAGTGGCACCGCACTGCCTTGCAAGCAGAGGACCTAAGTTTGATCCCCAGTACCACACACACACACACACACACACACACACACACACACACGCACACAAAATAATGTTCCCACCATAGCTTCTCAAGTGCTGGGATTATAGGCACATACCACCACGCTAGGCTTTAATGTTAATAATTCTAATTAAAAGAATTATACCACAGCAACATATGTGCACTCATGTTTATAGTGACACAGTTTGTAATACCTAAAACTCAGAAACAGCCCAATTGCCCATTACCTGGAGACTGGATAAAGAAGATGGTGTGTGTGTGTGCTTTTTTAATAGAATAGAGTATTAGCCATAAAGAATGAGAAACCAGAGGCATTTTTGGCTAAATGGATTGAGGCCGTACTCTTAAATGAAATAAATAGGACACTCATGTGTAAATACCAAATAGTTTCTCTGGTGTGAGAAACTGAAAGTAAAAATAAGGATCAAATTATATAATAGATAATGTGAAATATAGAAAGAAAAAGTCCAAAGGGGAAGGGGAAGTGGGGGGGTAGGAGAAAGGAAAGAAAGGAATGGGATAAATATGAGCAAAGGAAAAAGCAGAAAGTCTTTTTTTTTTTTTTTTTTTTTTTGGAAACAAAGTCTTTGTAAATTAGGGTGCAGGGGGTAAAGGGAGAGCAGGAGAACAGGGGAAAAAATGAGAACCAAGATATATCATGTAAAACTACAAATGCCCAATGACAAATGTCATAATATTGTATACCTAAAATGTAGCAATAAACAATGAATAAAAATATAGTTCAAGTGCTGCACTCATGTCTATCTTTGCTGGATTTGACCAAAGATATCCATGTTCCTCTTCAAAATACATGCTTGTCTTCACCTTATTGTGAGAAATTCCAGCTGAACACTGAAATCCAGTCTGCCTTTCAATGGCTGCTCTCATTTCCTCCACAATCACTGCTCCCATGGTGAGCTGCAGGTCTGGAGAGGTGGTGTTATCAACCTGAAGAGAATCGAGCCATTGATGTAAGCCTTGTTTTCGCATCTCCTCTGAAAAAAGTTGAAAGGGCACGCTTAAGACATCTAAATCATCATTTTCAGTCATGAGCCACAGAATAATCTTTGGTTAACAGACTGCACAAGCTGGATGTTAGGGTGCATGCCTGTGATTCCAGCACTTCAGACTTGCGCTTTGTTGGGAGGCTGAGACAGGAAGAATGAGAGTTGAAGAACAACCTGGGCTACAGAGTGAGACCCTGTCTTACAACAAAAAGACTGTGTATATGATGGTATATTCCGCACATCCTAGGTATGCAGCAGGCTCTATGATCTAGGTTCATATAAGTCTACTCTACAATGTGCACACAATGACGAATCACCTAACAATGCATTTCTCAGAACATATTGCCAATGTTAAGCAGCATATGACTGTAATTAATTGTGCTATCTAATAAAGAAATGCTTGGATTTCCTGTACTTTAGATATTCATGTTTTCTTAAGATATACAGAAGAGAGATGCATTTATTACATTAACAATTACAAAATATTTCCTTGGGCCGGGGATTTAGCTCAGTGGTTCTGGCGACTGCCTCACAAGCGCAAGGACCTGAGTTCAATCCCTGGTACCAAAAAAAGAAAATATTTCCTTTAATGTGTTCATCTTCCTCATTATTTCTACAGTCCACCCAAAAAATGTATATACACTTGTTTTTCTTTTCCTGAAGTGCGCATACATTTTTTGGGGGATGCTGTATAGATGAAGCTTTACTTCTCTAATGCACTTTCTTTTGCTTTTAAATGTGTATAAAACTAAGAGCCAACATGTTTGCCAAGCATGCACTCTACCACTGAGCTACACCCTCATCCCTTCCAAGATTACTTGGAACATGGCTTCTTGCCTAAGTTCCTAACTCACAACTGCCTTTTTTTTTTTTCTTTCAAGACAAGGTCTTGCTATGCAGCTCAGACTGGCCTTGTACTCACTACATAGCCCAAACTGGCGTAGGCCTCACAGTAATCCTCCTGCAGGTGTGAACCATTTCTGCTGGCCACTATTACTTCTTCTTTTTTTTTTTTTAAGGGGAAGTTTGCTGGTTTATTATAAAGAATATTACACAGGTTAGAGACAAAGAAGCTTGGAGCTTCTCTGGGCCACACCATGTCCAGGAACCTCTGTGTGTTCAGCTGTCTAGAATTTCAAAGCCAATTAGTTTCCCTCTCTCTTTCCCTTCCTTACTCCCTCCTCTTTGCTTCCTTCCTCTCACAAAAATTGTACACATTTTTGGGATACCATGTGATCTTTTCTGATACATGTATATTATGTATGTTCAAATATAGTATCTCAAATACTTGTGGTGAAATATTCAAAATCCTTTGTTTTTTTAAAAAAATATAGAGTACATTGTCATTACTGATAGTCATCCTTTATTATTATTACTGATAGTCATAATAGAATACCAGAACTTATTTCTCCTATCTGGCTATAACTCAGGACAATTCATTAATACAGACCAGTCACCTTTATGGTAAACACTCAAAGCACTAGGAGTGTGGCTCGGTGAGAGTCTGGCATAGGGAAGGTCCAGGGTTTGATTGCCAGCACTTGAGTGTTGGTGGCACTGTCCACAGGCAGGGTGCCTGGGTGAAGGGGAAGAAGAGGAGCAAGTTCCTAAGCCTGACTGTTCTTGAGTGGATGTGTTTCTGAGGCTGCCATTCCCCATGGACATCAGATTCCAGATTCTTCAGCCTTTGAGTGTGCACCTACATCAGTGACTCTAGTAGCTTCCTGCCTTCCATAAATCCTCTCATAATTATAAGATGATGCCTCGGTACTCGTTGATTGATACCAGTGGGCACGATGAGAACCAAAAATAACCAGCACCAAACAAATCTTTTTTGGCTGGAGAAGGAAGTGAATCTGGAGGTAATGGATACAGCTAAGTTCCAGCTTTTGTATTGAGTATGAAATAATGAGTACTGGGACAAAAAATTTTTGGTCTAAATGCACTGAGTACCAAATTCAACAAGTTTCAAAGAAGATGAATTCCAAGGTAGAACTGTATATACAATTCAACTGATTCTGTTCCCTCAGAGAACCCTAACACAATCATGGAGTATACATACAATGGAATAGTATGCAGGCTTTAAACAGGAACCTGACACTTCTGTAAAACTCTGTCGCCTCTTTGCAGAGTTTCCTGAGATTGCAAGGCCAGCAGTTAATGACAAAAACAAAAACTTTTCTGCCTGGCTATGGTGGCACACCCCAGTAACCTTAACACTCTAAGTACATTCAGCATATAAAGAGGGTATTAGAAGCCACCAATGCAGCTGTCACCAGAGGGGTCTGTAACCATGGAACCATTCACAAATTACATTATAGCTAAAAGCCATCAATTATCTATAAATTCAGCCACACAGATTTCTCTCTCTTTTTTTTTTTTTTTTTTTTGAGGCAGGGTGTCAATATGTGGTTCAGGCCTACCTTGAACTCACTATGTAGCCCAGGCTGACCTCAAACTTGCAGCAATCATCCTGCCTCAGCCTCCCTAATGCTGGGATTACAGGCATGCACCACCACACCCAGCTGTCTCTAAAAATCACCATTGAAAGAAAATTAAGAGAAAGAATAAAATGTATAATTAGCAAAGCATCATCTTGTAATTAAAAAGCACAAACAGTAATATATAATTTATAAAGATATATACATAGCTAAGACAATAAATACATCAGTGGATGCCACAGCAGAGTGGGGTTAGATGGGTGGGGAAACACTAGGAAGCAAAAAGATAATATGCTCTAAATTGATCAGACATTTTAAATAACTCAACTGCCTATGTTTGAGATCTTCCTTGAAAAAGCTCACCCATACAGATGAGACCAAGAAACTAAGCTATAATACAAATTAACCTGCAGATAAAAGAAGGCTTAGTCAAATTCATTTTCCTAGTCACATTAACCTGCGGTATTTGTACCTAAAGAGATATTTACTTTCATATAGACTTCACAGCTTCTGAACATGCATATACCTGGAAAGGTAAGAGAATTTGTATATACTTCCATGTGAGTCCTGTGAGTCACCCAGGCTGTAGTTTAAGTTTCTTTTCAATCACTCCAAGAAGAATCTGTATGACCAAGCAAAGCAGGCTCCAAAAGTGGGAAGCAGGAGCAATTTGATCCTATGGAAGTACCTTTCTGAACAGTCTCTTTTGCTGGTGTAGAGCCTTGAGGCAAACCTTCAACGTAAGTGGTTGGCAACAAGTCTGCTGATATAGGCTGTCCTTGTAGCTTCTGTAGACGCTCTTGCACAGCACTGGTCAGATCTATATACGCTTCATCAATGCTGGCACGTTCAATCACAGCAAAATGAGACATCACCCTCATCACTTCAACACTAGCTTCCCGGTACCTAGAAAGCATGAAGGTCATATGTGGAGGCAACCTTGAGATCGTCAGCCCATCCTCTCCCTCATAATGAACAAAAATCTACATGATCAAGAGACATGTGGCTTAACAGAGAATAGACAGTCAATGGGCAGGCAGATGACCAGTAATAGAAAGAAAGGGAAAAATCCTGGAGGGAAACTTTGTTGGTGCAATGATAGCACTACCAATGCAGAAAGCATGCAGGACACGAACATACTACATGGCAAGTATTTCTCTAAAAAGGAAAGAAATGCCATGCACCAAAAGACATTTACTAGGATCACCTATTCCTTTGTTATTTTCATGTCTACCACAGAAGATTTTTGCTTCTGATTCTGTCTTCAAGAGCTGATCTATAGGGAACTGATGGGTGAACAGAGAATCTGGTCTTCCTGAGGGCAGCATTCTCACTGCAACAAACTGACATATGGACTCTGTACTTCAGCAAATAGGTGTTCAGCTAACACACAACCTGCTCATCACTATACACACATATTCCAACCAGTCGCTTCTTGATCTATGAACATTCACAAAGCCACGAGGTTGAAGATACATGCCAGGAACGCAGTGATGCAGCCAGGCAGGCAGATGGCCTTCCTCAGAGTCTCTGTTCTTCCTTAGGGGCTCTGTTCTAGTCAGAAGCACTCTGCTGCTGTGTAGCCAGCTTTCTATGACAGTACAAAGATGTCTGCTTTGCTTCATTTGGACCTTACTATGTAATTTAAAGTTCTTTGATCCTGTTACATTTGCCATTAATATGAAAGTATTTGTACCTCTTCTCTAAGACACCTATAAAAACTAGTATAATTATTATTCTAAAACATTGTCAAATGAGAGATCAGAGCTAAGTTTGACTTTTATCCTTTTCATCATTATTTGGTTTAGGAAGAAGATAGGCCTCAGAAGAAAGAATCAATGCACTCAGATACAAAAAAAGCCAAGACAGGATGCTCTGCATCAGTGGTTGGTGTTGCAATAGCGGTTTCTTCACACCCCTTTGAGCAAATTAAAATATTCTGGAGGATATCTGAAACTTTATTTAATAATCTAGTATCTCAAGTTAATTAATAAAATTATTTTAAGTTGAAATATCTTTAATCCTAAATTTATAGTTTGATGAGGATTTTAAAAGTAAATAATCCAGCTGGGTGTAGTGATGCATACATGTTAACTCCAGCTACTCCAGAGGTGAAGGCAGGAGAATGGCAAGTTCAAGGCTAGCATGAGGAAGTTTGTGAGACCTGATCTCAAAAAATCTAAAGAGCTAGGCACAGTAGCACATGACTGTAATCTCAGCTACTCAGCCAGCTGAGACAGGAGGATCACAAGTTTGAGCCAGTCTAGGCAACTTAGCAAAATCCTATCTCAAAAAAAATTTTAAAAGGTTTGGTGATGTAGCTCAATGGTAGACTATTCCTGGGTTCAACCACTACTACCGGAATAAACAAAATCAGAATGGCCGTGGAAATAACTCAGTGGTAAAGTACTTGTCAGGTATGCTTGAGACACTTGGTTCAATTCCTAGTAGGGCAAAAAAAAAGGTAAATTTGGTGGAATATGGCTTTTCCAAATCATACTGTGAGGTTAACAATATATATTTCAGGGAAGTTATATCAACATAAAATTTATATGTCTATATCAACATAAAACTTTATTCAATGCAATGGCACATATGTCCATGACCTGAATTAATTCTGCTGATTAGGACCTTGTGCTGGCAAGACAGGCACAATGCCACTGAGCTAAATCCCTGGACCTTATTCCTACCTTGTATACATGTCTCTCATTCCAAGACTAAATGTCTAAAATTTTGGGGGAGAGCGCTCAATTCAAAAACAGAAAGAATTAAGCATGGTGGTGCATGTCTGTAATCCCAGTACTTAGGAGGTGGAGACAGGAGGATCGCTGAGAGTTTGAGGCCAACCTGGGCTACATAGTGAGTTCAAAGCAGCCTGAACTACATAGTGAGACGCTGTCTCAAAAAAAACAAAAAAAACAGAAAAACAAAAAAACAAAACAAAACACAGAAAGCAATCTTTTCTTTATTCAGCTCTCGCAGATAATTGTCTTTCTTTTTTTTTTTTTTTAAACTCTCGCACGTAATTCTAAAAATTGCACTGAAGTATCAGTTTGAGGCTTCCTCAGAAAAACTATTAGTCTTATAGTCTTTTAAATTACTTCAGTCATTTTAGACTTTTGGTCTAAGAACATGGGAAATTTTTTAAAAATGTGAATCAGTATTAAGTTTTAATTAGAACAACCTAGCTGGGCATAGGTGCACATCTATAATACTAGCACTTAGGAGGCTGAGGAGGGAGGATTACCATGAGTTTGAGGCCAGTCTGAACTACATAGTGAAGCTCTGTCTCAACCCTCCCAACAAATAAAATTAATTGTAACAACCAATTTTTAAACAGTTAAGGAAACAAATGGGTATCAGAGGAAGCAATTATTGTAATAATAGTTCTGAACTATTCTGAAATAAAATGTCAAAACCTTTCCGTTTTCATTTCACAGAGATAAGATGCTGACCAAAGGGAACTTTTGAGATGTTACTTACACAGAAGTACTCTGAAACACCAGTTCCAACCATCATGGATTATTATTTTCCAAGTTCCCATGTCTCTTTAAACAATCTTTTCTCTTACTTGGTAAGGTTAGCTTTCCCTCGGGATTCACGAACTTGTGCTAGTAGAAGATCTGGACATAACTTCTTAGCATCATCAGCCCACATGTTTCTAGTGACCCCGAAAGCACGAGCTTCATAACTCACTGCAATTATTCTAAGGTTAGAAAAAAAGAACCAAAGTAAAAAAAAAATGTACATTTAACAGGAAAAGGCTATAGACACATAAAGTTAGAAAGCTTTTGACTACAGAGGTCATTCGATCCCAAACATAGCAGTTTTGAAATCTCAGAGACAAGAGTTCACACATCACCACTGTATTCCCCATGGATTACAGCAGCAGTAGACTGTCACAACAACAGTACATACCCACCACCTTTCCAGGATTTGTACTGCACGACTGCACAAGGTTTATTCCTCAAGTGAGGGTTTTGCCGCTGCTCCACTTGAACAAAGAAACAGTCCATGTCCACAAGGGCAACCACTCGGTCTTGTCCAGTAGCCATTTCTTCTATAAGATATTGTATGAAGTTAGAGAGATGCTAATCCAAAATGCCAGGGAAAACTCTATTTCCATTCTTTCACTGATGGGTTATCATAATCCTGGTAAAAGGGAAATTAACAGGAATGCAAGACATTTTCACACACTGCTGGTACATGCAGGTAATAAATATTAACTTTATACAGGTAATAAATATTAAAAATATTAAAAGTAACTCATTCCTTCAAGAATCAAACATTTTACAAAAGATACACAAATAGCCAACAGGTGCATAAAAACAGGCTTAGCATCATCAGTCAGGAGGAAATGCAAATGTAGACCACAATGCATAGGTAGGAAGCACTGAAAATAACGTCCTAGAGCACCCTGTAACTCCCTGGGGAGGAGGGACAACACCTTCTGGTTTTTGTTTTGTTTTTGGTACCAGGGATCGAACTCAGGACCTTGCGCTTGCAAGGCAGGCACAGTGCCACTGAGCTACATCCCCTAACCCTCTGTTTTTAATTACCAGTCAACATGGAACTCTTCTGTCATGGGCACAATAAGAGTTTCTAAACACACATGAAGCACAAGCTTACTTCTGTAGCAGTGGGGCTCAATACTCTGTGGCAGAACTTAAAAGAGGTAATGACATGCAAATGCTGATATCTGATTTCCTGTGTGTGCTGCCTCGGCATTTAGGGCATTTACCCCTCACAGTTTGACTTAAAACACTGAAAACCATTCCAAGCTTCATGTTAACCTTACCTGTCAACACAGCAATTTCATGAACATTATTATATGGCTGAATTTCTACTGACATTTTAACTATATAGGAGCTTAACTTTATAGAAAAATATATTTTGTCTTTTTTGTGTGTGTTTTTTTGAGACAGGGTCTCACTATGTAGTTCAGCTGACCTTAAACTCATTATTAGCCCAGGCTGGCCTGGAACTCAGCATTCCTCCTGCCTCAGGCTCCCAAATGCTGGGATTACAGGTGTGCACCACTACGTCCAGAAAGAAAATGTATTTTGATATTGATATCTTATTAAAGTATGCTGATAAAAAACCCCACAATGTACTAATTATCAATAGGGGGAGAAGGCTGACAATACTCCAGTTAAAAGATCTCAGATAAGTTTAGGGAAAAGAGATGCATAGATGCTTAGATATAGTCAGCCTTCCACATGCAACAGTTCTATATCAAGCAACCTTAGATCAAATGTATTCTGAAAAAAAAGGGTATGTGTACTGAACATATACATTTCTTGTCATTTTCTAAATAATACAGTGTAACAACTATCTATATGGTATAGTAAGTCTCTGATTTTAAGAACATTCCGGGTGCAAATTTTCACAAATAAGAACAGGACTCGCATTAGAAACAAACATTTTAGGTGCAAATAAATCATGCAAGTAGCTCACACGTTTGCTGGACATTGTCACAGCTGTGCTGCTGTGTGCTTACTGTATAGTGTGATAGTATACAGTAGCACAGTGCTCAATCAGAGCCCAGGACGTCCAGAAGAGGAAAAGCAGTGATGATGTGGAAGGGACTGCTAGGAATTCACAAAGCAGTTACCATGGAAACAAAAGTGGAAATACAGTATTAAGACTCCCTTTGTTGGACTTACCCTCAAATCCAACTTATGCACGTTCTCCTGGAACAGAGCTTGTTCATAAGTTAGAGGCTTACTCTGTTCGGTATTATAAGTATAGAAGTGATTTAAAGTATTTGGGCAGGGGCTTAGGGTGTCACTTCCCTAGCAATCTCAAGGTTCTGCGTTTTATCCCCCATAATACCAACAAAACAACAAAACACATACAAACAAAAGACAAATCTATGGGAGGATGTGCACAGGTTATATATGCAATTTTATATGAGATCTGAGCATCTGCAGATTTTGGTATGCTGTGGGAGTGTCCTGGAACCAATCTTCCCATGGACAACTAACTGTATAACAGCATTTATTTTGAAAATATCACAATTATTAAAATTAAAAAATGAACACTGATAAAACATTAACTCAACAACAAACTTACTGGGATTTCACTGGTTTTTCCATGACTGACTGTCTCTATTCCAGAACCCAATGTAGGATTTCTCCTTAGTCTCTCCCAATCTGTGACCCTTTCATCTTTTCTTGACTTTCACAATCTTGGCACTTGAGGGCAGGACAGTGCTGGGGATTAAATTGGGGGCCTTGTGCTTGTTACCCGTAGGCAAGTATACTGTCACTGAGCTACACTCCTCAGCCCCAAACCTGACACTTTTGATGAGTACTGGTCAGTAATTTTTGACAATGTCTTTTGCTTTTGTTTCTCGTATGCATTTTTAGCAATAATATCATGGAAATAATGCTTTTTTTCATGTAGCGTAAGGGGTTATGATGTCAATACAATGTTAACTATAATCAATTAGTTAAAATGTGGGGGGAGGTTGTTTTAGTTTTTGTTTTTGTACAGGGGATGGAACTCAAGACCTTGTGCTTGTGAGGCAGGCAGTAGCACCACTGAGCTAAATCACCAGCCAGCTAAAATGGTTTTTGACAGAAGTCTCGGTGTAAAGTTACTATTTTTCCTTTTGTAACTATTATCTTGAGAGAAAACATTTTGAGACTATGTTACTATCCTGTTACTCTTTAAACTTTCAATCATTATGCAACTGTCAGGGATTTTTGACTATAACAATTACTCTGTAGCAATTCTTATTTTCTAGTATGTAAATGTTCTCATAGAAAACAGAAATGCTCCTCTGACTTCCACACTAGACATACTAATGTATGGGCTGTGATCTGGCCATAGGGATTTTAAGGCTCTTTAAGTAATTCTAATACACAGCAGAACTTAGGAACAGCTGCCTAAAGTAAATAAGGTGCTTATTATGAACACACCAGAAATTCATGATTTACCTATGAGAAACACAGGTTATACACTTGAGTGAGCACCCAACTGTAGTCTTCAAAAAGTTTTTCAAAAACTAACATTTACCCTGAAAAAGCTGTCATGCAACTACAAAGCTGGAAAATTAATCGGGGGGGGGCAAATAATTAAGAAAATCAAGAGTAGTCAAGGCATTGATTCCTGGTGAATTCCTATTGACTATTCACCTAAATCAGGCAGAATGTGATACTTTAAACATTATAATTTAAAACGATGTTAGAAATTCTTTTACCTTGAAGTAGCTTTTCTCTAAGATAAGGAAAGTTACATCAGGAGTGAAATAAAAAAAAGCAATGATTTAACAGCAGCAAACACTTTGATACACAAAATCACAAAAACAGAGCCAGGTGTGGGCGACCCCAGCACCCAGAGGCAGGAGGATCTCAAATGGAGGCTAGCCTAGACTATACACAGTTAAACCTTGTGCATCCTCTCCCACCTCAAACACAGATATACAGACGTGACAAATAAACCACAGAGGCTTCCTCAGGTCAATTTATTTATTGCAGAAAGCAAGATTTTTACAATGAAGGAGAATGAACAGACATGCTTTCTGCCAAGACCTTCCGGATAAGGACTGCACCACTTTGAATTCTTTCAATTTGACAAATCATCAAAACTGCACAAGTCTTTAATGATTGCAAATTTTCATTTTTAAATATCCCTATTTATCCCAATCTGCACAAAGCAAGTTTGGAGCCGGTCAGGAAAGCTTTAAGGACCACAGGGGAATATTAGTCTTTTCTACCAGAAAAATCTCAAGACCTTCTCTCTGTGATCAGTATATTCTCATTTTCGGCCCAGTGTATTACTAGTCATATTAATTCATAAAACTAGCAGCCAAGGCATCGAAAGGAGTCTGAAGGCTGTGACACCGGACGTTCGATTTCCTTACCGAGATGACAAACACCTGATCAAGCTGCCTACGACGAACGAACGCCAGGCTCAGGAATTCACTGGACGAAATGAAGGAGTACAGGACGTCTCGTCGCTCTTCCGGGGGCGGGGCAGTGGGTATGGAGAGAGATTTGTTCCCCTTGACCACGGACAATCCCGCAAAGATCCGAGGGACTGCACCTGGGAAAGCCTCTGGGAGAGACCGCGCCGAACAGACCGACGTGACAGCGCGCGCTCTGCGAGTGGCCGTTGAGGCGCCTGCGCACTACGGCTTTTCCGCCTCTCGCTCCGCCCACCAAGAAGGAATTTCACAACGGTATCGCCACTTCCGCGCGCGCGTGCGCAGTGGAGGATCGGGCGCGTGCGCAGAGCCGGGTCCTTCCCGGCTCCAGCGCCAGTGGCTTGCGCTCCTCCTCCCGCTCCCCACCCCCCTCCCGCCGCGGCCCGGTTCCAACGTGTGATCCCGCGGAGGGAGGCGTAGG